TTTGATTCCAAGTAGCAACAGAGATGTTTCTCTTCTGTGCAAAATTCAGATAAACTCTGGGCTCCATCGACTCTCCTGTCTAATGGTACCGGGATTTTCCCACAGATGAAGTGGTAGGGACTTGAAGTTTATCGCTCACTCTCACCTATGACAACATAAAGCTGTACCTCCACTCCCTCATATGCCTTCAGGGCATGATATTTAACTAAAAACAGGAATAATTTTGTCTTCACCTGGATTTGAATCCAAGTACTGCCATCAACATATCAAGAAGTTCTGCAAAGAACCAATCGCTTACTTTCCTTTCACGACACAAACCGCGTGTATTCGTTGCCGTGGTATCGTATTTACCGAGTCAATACAGACACACAGACAGCAAGGTGATCTCCTTTTTTATTATTTTTTATTATTCTTAGTGGAGTGAGACTAAGTCCCATACACTGCGGCCACTTCTGGCCTATTGTACCAGCCCCAGATGATAGACGATGGTGATTGTGGAGCAATTAGTGGAATGAAGATTGCCTGGGGAAACCTAAGTCCTCGGAGGAAACCTACCCCAGCGCCTCTTTCTCCACCACAAATTCCACATGAACTGACCAGCGTTCGAACCCGGACCGCCGCGGTGGGAAGCCGGCGACTAACCGCCTGAGCTATAGCACGGCTTAAGGTGATTTCTTAAGACTATTATTTTTCAAAGTAAGAAAACGTAGGCTAAAGTAAAGTAAGTAATAGCAAATCTATCAGTGCAATGTAAACCAACTGCACACATACCAGAGCAGCGCCAAGCCCTAAAACGTCGCTTATATCAAATATACGCCAAACACCCGGAAATGTACAGGATAATATTCGTAAATATTTTATAAACTTTAAACAGTTACTACAAAGTTGTTTATTTGGGTGAATATAGCTACTGGAGCATTAATGTTCATGTTCTTGTTCGCGTGTGTGCATGCTTTTGGCTTCTTGTAAATATATTAGTTAGCATACAGCAATAACACGTTTCGTCTTGTGCAATCCCGAAGAACATCAGGCCAATTATATGTTCGTCATTATGCTGCTTGGCTGAGTGTGAAGATATTAAAATCTGAGTATCAGTGCACGTTAGGAAGAACATGTCATCCAAGCGGCGCAGAAACATTTCTAATCGAAGAGAAGCTAGCAGAAGTCTCCAGGTTTTATTTTCAGCTAATTTCTGTAACGATATTGAAAGGACAATCTTACCTCAATGACAATTCTCACTGAATCGATCCGACTTCCAGACACGGATACAAGTGAATCGCTTAGCAGAGTTTGCTTCTTACAGACCGAGTTAATCTTCAGTTAAGGCCGCGCCATAGTTCAAGCTGTTAGTCGCTGGCTTCCTACTGCGGAGGGCAGGGTTTGAGTCTGGGTCTCGTCATATGGGATTTGTGGTGGACAAAGTTACTTTAGAGCAGTTTTCCTCCTAGTACTTCGGTTCTCCTGTCAATCTTAATTCCCCCAGTTGCTCCACAACCACGATCACCTATCATCCGGGTCTGGTACAATAGGTCAGTAGTGACCACAGTACCAAGTGGACTCAGTCTCACCACAGCAAGAATAATTAAAAAAAGATAATCTTCGGTTATGATGTAATGATGAACATTCTCTGTACCATACTCACTTGCTCTCTTCGTTGAAGATCAATCATATTGTGACAGGACTCCCCGCGGCAACGAATACGCAAGCAACAATCGAATGACTTCCGTTGCCATGCAACGGCGCTGTAAACATGCGTTCCTAACAGACAGACAGAGAGAGAGAGATAGATAGATAGATAGATAGATAGATAGGGGGATAGACGGATGGACGGAAGGACGGATGGATATATAGATATATAGGCAGGCAGGCAGATAGAATAGCTTCTATGGTGATGTAATCACGGACGATGAGATTGTTGGGTTATGTAGAAATTGTCAAACAGATGAAAAATGAGCATTCAAATCTAGTTCATAAAACTGATGGTAAGATACATAGGCATACTTGGGTGGGCAATGTTGAAACAAGTTTTGAAGAAAAGGGGTGTGCAGATGTGAGGCCTAGACTGGTTTTAAGTTGCTCGGGATAGGGTTCAGACATGAGGTCTTGAGAATACGTTAATAAACTTTTGATTCAGGCAAATTCAGATAAGAATCTCAATTTGCTGGGCGAATATTGGCTTTTCAAGAAGGGTTCTACCCCACAGAGCGGCCAGAATGCTGTGTACACGTATTAAAGAAAGGCCTGCAACTGAGATTTTTAACTTCCATCGAAATAAATATGCAACGTGCCACTACTTTGTATGTTTCATATAGGGGACAATTAAACGAAAATTGATACTTGTCACTGACTGAACTCTAAATAAACAATATTTTTATAAGCTACGGTGACAATAAAAGATAGAACATTAGAACACGCCCTGCAAATATCAGTTCATTACCTCCGCAGTGAAGTGGAACAACACCAAAAACATTGCGAAAAAGAAAGAACGGATTTTATTTCTGAAACTATATTTTCTAAGAATTTCTTCGGGTATTAAACACTGTTTGAGAAAAGAAGATTACATGATGTAACTGCTCTAGCAACTTCTTGACTGAATCGGAATACGTTTCCTCATCTCCATTTCAAGCACAGAGAATTCAAAGAAATCCCGCTTTCAGTGGCGTTGAATTAAACTTTAAACTTCTTGGCAATTAAACTTTTCAATCTTATTTCGCAAAAAGAAAAACAAATTTAAAACAGTAAGGTGTTATTCATCTGTGTGTAATCTAGAAAACTTGCTTCATTATGTAGGATTTGATGTTCTCACATCGGTAGTTATCTTCTGGGGTATAACGCAGTGCAGTAGGCTGGAAGTCAACGGACGTTTCGGAGGAACATATCGCCAGCTAGCCACCTGATTTCACCCTGGTATTTTGCTCGGCTTATTCGACCCTGAAGATGGAGGCGATGACTTTCAACGGACTACATGGCGTTATATTCATTGCTTCACAATTTACATTTTAGATGTAATGAACAAGTTTTAGGATGGGGAATCACTAACAGGGCTCAACTTAAAAACAATAAGTCTCCAAAATAATAAGTGTTGCCTGATTATGGCCCCTGTGCGGCCGAAATATGTAACATGACATCAAGTGTTTTAGATGTTACATTTTGAACTGGGTGCAGTGTGACAGCGACGTGAGTGTTATACACCTGATGATGGCCGTCTGAGGCCGAAACATGTAGTGTAGGGAGCAAGATCAAAGACACAAATATATTGTTTGCACTTGAGACGGAGTTTATATCATTTATCAAGTGTATATAGTTAACGACATTTTAAAATATTTAACTAACACTATTTATTGAAAAAAATATAATTTAGACTTGGTCTCTCCCATTAATGGAGGAACATGGACTGAGGGTGTTTGAGAACAGGGCGTTAAGGAAAATATTTGGACCGAAGAGAGAGGAAGTGACAGGAGGTTGGAGAAAACTGCATAATGAGGAGCTTCATGACTCGTATTCTTCTCTAAGTATAATTAGAATGATCAAGTCAAGGAAGATGAGGTGGGCAGGTTTTGTAGCACGAATGGGGGAGACGAGAAATGGGTATAGGATATTGGTGGTAAAGCCAGAAGGAAAGAGACCACAGGGAAGGCCAAGGCGTAGGTGTGTGGGCAATATTAGAATGGATCTTAGAGAGATAGGATGGGATGGTATGGATTGGACAGATCTGTCTCAGGATAGGGACCAGTGGAGGGCTCTTGTGAACACGGTAATGTACCTACGGGTTCCATAAAATGCTGGGAAATTCTTGAGTAGCTGCAGAATTGGCGGCTTCTCAAGAAGGGCTCAGCTCCATGAATAAGTAAGTAAATATATATTAGTGTCTTTCAAGAAAGGATTGACTTTGTTTCATTACAGATAGAATACTTTACAATGAAAATGAAACCAATAAGTCAATAAGACAGTTTATTATATTATCACACCATTTGTTTCGGTCTGTTATGAACGTGCATATAAGTAAAGAAAGCAAATACAACATTTATGCTGAATTATATGATGAACTGCTGACCACAAAACAACTACTATAACACCGGATGCATAAAATAAAAATAATAATCCGGCATCAATATTGTGACATGACAGCTGAAAGTCGTCATAGGCCACTGCTAGAAAACGGCTCGCTAGGGACGAATCCGTAGCAACGTTCTGGTTTCCACAAGCTTATCCGTTGCTGCAGTTACGTGCTCAGCGACTCGGTATCCAGCAAATTACATCCTTCTATTGTTGAGAACGTAACCTTGGGAATGCGTTTACCGGGCCGTTGCCTAGCAATGATCATATGCACCACAATATTTTTCGGACTTTTACGGTGATCCAGTATTGGTAGATACCTCCTATCATAGGGCAGTCACTTGGCCTTGAGGTTTCAGCAAGAGTATGAATTCTGAACCAACGTACAGTCACGTCATACGTAAACTGAGAAGGCAACCTTACAGAAGAAAACTAACGTGTGTTCCACGCGGTACCAGGTGTTGAGAACTGTCGCTTATAGGCTGTAGCATTCACGAATATAATGTATTTACCCTTAAACGACGTAATCTTATAAGCAACGCCTTTTGTTTTTTAATTCGCTTAGTGGAGGGTGGAGTCCAACTGGGTCCACTCGGCACGGCGGCCACTGATTGGCCCATTGAAGCCTGCCTCGGGTGATTATGGTGATGGAGAATTTAGTGGAGTGAAGATTGGCAGGGGAAACTGAAGTATTCGGAAAAAACCGCGCCAGCGCCACTTTGTCCACCACAAATCCCACTTGACCAGACCCGGGATCGAACCCGGGCCGTCGCGGTGGGAAGTCAGCGACTAACCGCTTGAGCTATGGCGCGGTCAAGCCAAGCTTTAGTCAAAAGATTTAATTTCAGTTAAGCGTGTAACATGTGGCATACTTCAAGGGCGCTAGTCCTATACAACATCAATGTCTATTCTGAAACCGATAGAAGCTTTCGTGTGTGCCTTACCGTGATGATGTGTTCGTCTCGGAGAATGGTTACCGATAACAAAGACGGGCCAACTCACCTGTAACAGAGTAAAGTACGACCAATATTAGCACTCTCGCTGTGTCTATTGACACGGGCGCCTGAACTCACCCTGCTTCGTAGAGTTTACACAAGCATCAGATTGTGGATTGAGGGGGTGGGGGGTTGATTTCAACCATCAGTCTAAATATGTGCACAACAGAGACTGACAGACGTGAGAATAACTGAATATAAAAGGCTACATATGACATGTGTGTGTTATTCGACTAGGAACATATCTGCATTTGTGAACGTCCATACTCGTAAATTCACAGAAATGTATTTCAACACAGAACTCTACTTGCACCTGACTTTTGTTGTCCTAATCTCAATATTCTTACATAATAAAGAATTATATCTTTGGGGTATAACGCCGTGCTCTCCGTTGAAAGTCAACACACGTTTCGGAGGAACATATCGCCTACGTCTTCAGGATCGAAGTATAAAGTGATCATGAAAAAAGCGTGAAAGCAGGTGGAAAGCAGAGGAATATATTCCTCCGAAACTTCTGTTGACTTTCAACGGAATACACGTTGTTACAAATCCTACAAGATAGAAATATTCATAACCACAGCTTTGAGAAAATCAAATCATAATTCTTAAGGAATATTGTGATGAATTTTACACTCCCGAAACTAGTTAAAGACAAAGTTATGTTACGACCGACGGTCAGTCGGCCGGTCTCTCTTGGTGTCAAGACCTCAACTGCGGTCCAAGCCCATATTTTTTTACTGTCAAACAGTTGCGGGTTTGTTGATGTGGGGTGCCGTCTCTGACGAGAGGACGGGTCTGTCTTTTACAATTACTTCTGGTACTCGTCAGCGCAGTCATTCTCAGGCCGGAGTCCCACGGGACTCATGATTATATTTTACTCTCTCAGACTGCAGACTCCTCCAGTCTGGAGGGCCTCAGCCAGTGAAGACAGAACAGACTAAGAAGTCTTGGCGCTTGCTGGAGGGAACTGTACTTATGTCCCCCAGCAACAGGGTTGCCCGGCTATAGCCCCAGATACTGGGTTCTCTATTAGTCCCCTCCTACGACTCACAGGACTACGATGCAGGTATTCGAACCCGCCTCCACGCGGGGAGACTCCCGAAACTTCGAATTCGATCTCGTTATATAGCCTTGGGACGGACCCCATGGAAAATATCTTTTCTTGCATTTGCATTGTTGCAGTGTGACCTTGCCGTTGAGGCAAACCGCTTCCAGTTCTTTTATTGTTGGGTACATAAGCGTGATTACGGTCACGTGACGTTAACCAAGCCATTGTTTAGCAACGAGGAGTCTTCTTTTGGTTAAACTATTCCGGATTTCAGCAGATATGCCATAATATTATCTTTCCTTAGGTTACGGCACCGCGTTTTACGTATATGTAAAAGGAAGTTAAAAGTCTGTGTATTTTATTCTTCAAGCCTTCATTTTTCTTCACGAAACTCGCAACTGGAATATTGCGATTTTTGGAACCAGAACAGGAACATTATTCCAGGAAAAACGAGGGCAGATACTCTTAGCAAGAAACCTGAATGAAAATGGAAGCTACACGGAAATGTTTACTGAGATGTGAAAGGGCCTGTGACACTGTACTAAAAGTGAATTCGATCAAGTTCACCACTTAAAAAGTTCTGCAGAATCACGAGCAGCGGTTCAAATAGTTAATATTCGAGAAGTTAAGGGTTCTAATCTCAGCCAGGGTGCGCCTGATTTACCGAATTAAATTTCTTTTCCCTCAGCCTCCCTCTACAAGTTGTGGAATGATACTGTAAGATAAATCATAACAGGTTCCTTCCACACGAGCGTTCCAATTTGTTGCATAATTATATTCCTTTATTTGAGGCTCTTAGAACAATTCATGTAGAAAAGCGTCGTGTAATGATTGAAGAATTAGTCATCATTTTCTGAAAATAAAGTGTGAAATACCATGTTCATTGAATTAAAAAGTATCTGTATTTAACTATCTTCAATTTGAAAATTATCTCATTCGTGAAGAGGAATAATTTATAAAACATTCTGTATGTGACGAATAACCGTATTCTGGATGATTATTCTGGTTTAGTTCACCGACTTTTCGGAGGAATGTACGGCTTCTATATTCAGAGTACGTCGAATATACAGTAAGAGTAAAGTCTCAAAATATGGAGGTAGTACGTTGCTCCGAAACGTCAATAAAATTCTATAAGAATACATGATGTTATATCTTAAAATGCATCAATCTTCATGGCCACCACCGCGAGGAATTCCCATCTCGCAACTCTGTTCTTGCCTTTAAAATGTAAACACGTTCCATTTTGGTATTACTGGCTTTTTGGAATTTGTTCATCATCCGGCATTCTAAAAATTAGAGAAATTCAGATCTACATTTTCCATTTTCTTTCCACAAATTAAGATTTGTTTCGAATTTCCTCTTAAACAACGTCCCATATTAGAAGAGTTGTACCTTACTTTGTACGTTTAAGCGTCATTCCTCATTACACATATATGTAGGCCTAGATTTATAAATACACAATATATTCCTATATATCCTCACACACACACACATTATAACATGCATACATACCTTCCATTATATGCATATTGTCACGTGAATGGGTTTAACTATAAAGGGGGTTTAAATTGATGACCGGATTTACTGGACTTCTGATACATCACGTGACTACACTTTACAGTTCACTGTTACACACACCCCAGTGTTCACAGTAACGTCTTCACTGCCGTTGCTCGGTAGCGGCTTCAACGGCATACGTTCTCCTTCCCCTGGGTTCCCGAACTCTCCCTGCTCTCAGCTACCAACGACCGAGCTTTAGCGGTCCTCCCACTAACTCACCAACACACTCCCCACTGACTCAATTAACTCAACTCAGAAACCAACTCAAGTAAATCTCTCTACTAACTGCAACTCCTAAATTGTGCTGCCTATAACATTTCGGCACGGACCGAACAGAAAACACTGTTCCTCTGTTGCAGTGCAATTGTTGCGTTCTTGTACATTTGGGGAGCCGCTGCCCAGCAACGGCTGTTGTATAGTTGCTTATTTCGCGATCGTTGCCTTGCAACGGGTCTACATGCCACAATATATTCATACATACCAACACACATTCATTACATTTATACATTCATACATACAATAAGGCGTACGTATATTAATATAGACGTATATACAAGCATGAATTAACGAGCGAACACACACACACACAAGCCTGCATTAACACACAGAGCAGCGCTTGCGTACATACGTACATCTTTCATGTCGGAAAGAAAGACGGAGAGCGCCCTGTATTTCTGCAGCCACGGGACTGCATATGAGCGTCCTGAACCACGGAGGGGTCCCAAGTGGACTGTATGTGTCATCCATCTCAATCCAATTTGCTAGTCTATGATTCCCGTCTCTCTTCAAAGAGCATTTCTCACAGAATCGCGTTCTGCAAGGTTCGACGTTAGATTTCGCTGATCCAGACGTTCGTGCTTTCATACACTCTGGCTACAACATAGAGATCTCATTGTCCACAGAAATATGTCTTATATCCAGTAACAACTGTAACACATTGCCTCTCACATCTGTCAATAAATTATTATAAACATGTAAAATAACACAATGGAAATGCAGATTTGTAAGTTATCACAGAGGTAGTTAGGAAGTGTTCCAGTAGTTTGTGATATAATATAATGCAGTCCATTTAAAGTCAACCGACGTTTCGGAGAAACACGTCGCCTCTGCTTGTTACCTGCTTCATGTTTTCTTCTTGCTTGGTTTACCCGTAGACCGTGAATATGGAAACGACATGTTCTTCCGAAACGTCGCTTGACTGTAAACGGTCTACAAGGTCAAATTATAAATCACTCCGTCCAATGTGACCTGTAAGTTTTTTACTACGTAAAATCTTAACACCCTTACATGTTTCGGACTCTGTGGACCATCTTCAGAGGGCAAACATCACTACAAACAGGAAACCACTATCACATAATTTGTTTACACGCAAAGTATGTACACTTATATGTTATTGTGCTATTGTGACGGACCAGAATGAAACAAATCAAAAGGTCTACAAGGTGTTATATCCCAGAAGATGTAATTCAATATCGTACAAAATTCACTGGAAAATATAGCAGCGGGACAGATTGAGCATTTCCATATTATCCGAAAGTTCATTAAAATAACTCAAAACTTATACAAACAAATTGCGATGCTCAGGCATTCCATGACCTTCCAGCCAATTACACGAAAAGCAGTTTAAGCGCGTAGGTTTTCATTAATTAGATCCATTTACTCATTCTGCAAAATTCCAAATTATTCCTTCGGATGCAAAGACTGATCAACCAAAATTGCCTTTTCACTCCCTCGTTAGTTTCCTTGCAGTCTGCTAAAGAAAAGATATACCCTGCTTGCCACAAAGCGTACAAAATATGAAACCTCATTTATTGAGTACTGACATGTAGACCTGCTTATGTAAATAAAATGAAACTATTAAGTGTCTCTAAAATCAGTATGAACAAAAATTAAACTGGGGTTCTTAATATTTTCATATTTATGTTTCGCAATATGGAAAATTCAAATTTACTTTATACATTGAAGAATACCGTCTTTTGGAATGTGGCGGCGTGTAGATATTATGTGAACCGACGTTTCGGAGGAACGTAACGCCCCCATCTTCAGGGTATAAAAATCATTGAGCGAGGAACCAGTGTGAGGTGGCTGCAGTCTGCCCTGAAGATGAAGGTGATATGTTCCTCCGAAACGTCGGTTCACATAAGATTTATACGGCGCCATATATCAAAATACGGCATTCTACACAGTCACCTCACTGAAAACCTCAAATCTTTCTTGCTTTATACATTCTTTGCAACATATAAGCATCTCACGCATTGATGAGATTTGAGGCCTTCGCAGTTGCTAAATTAATATGATGGCATCCTGGATCGTGACGCTCCGATTCCTTATGTATTATTATTATTATTATTAGAAGGGGTGGGTTTCCCTATGCACTTAGACCAGTTATTGGTCCATTG